AGTCTGGCCGTTCCTCAGACGATGGAACCGTCTCCTTAGGAGGCGGCAGCTCCCAGGCGGGGACCTGCGGCGGTGGAAGAAAGCGCAGGTCCAGGCCGGGACGCGCACCCAGCGCCCCCAGGGTGCAGCTCCTGCAGCCGCGAGGCAAGCGTCGCCCCCAAGCCCGGGGCGGAACCCGCAAGGGGCTCACGGAGCGCGGACACCCGCACGGCGCAGCTGCGTGCAGCGGGAAAGGAGTGAGCAGGGACTGCGGCAGCGTGGGTGCGGCTGAAACGCTAAGTCGGAGAAGTCAGACACGGAAATACACGGCGAGGGAATCCATTCACAGGAGGAGCCAGAACTGGCAACTCTATGGGAATGGAACGGCCCCGCGCGATTGCCAGTGACTGGGGAGGAGGGAAACGCGAGTCACTGCGAAGGGCGCCGGCTTCGTTTTTGTTTGCTTTTGAAACCGAATCTCGCTCTGTCGCCCAGGCTGGAGTGCAGTGGCGCGATCTCGGCTCACTGCGACCTGCGCCTCCTGGGTTCAAGCGAATCTCCTGCCTGAGCCTCCCGAGTAGCCGGGATTACAGGCGTGCGCCACCCCCGGCTAATTTTTGTGTTTTTATTAGAGACGGGGTTTCACCATGTTGGCCAGGCTGGTCTCGAACTCCTAGACCCTGGACCTCAGGTGACCAGCCCGCCTCGGCCTCCCGAAGTGCTGGGGTGACGGGCGTGGGCCACCGCGCCCGGCCGGGCCCAGCGTCTTTTTAAGGAGCTGAAATGCTCTGGAATTTGATAGTGGCCACGGTTTCACTCAGCAAACCCCCCGAATCGTGCGCTTTAAATGGGCGAACTGTGCGGTACGTGTTAGATCTCAATCAAGCTGCTAAGAAAAAAGCAAGACCAGAAACCCCAGAGCTCCTGCAGAGTGGGGCCCAGCGCCCGGGTCTGCTCGCGGGTCGGAGCGCTCCCTGGGAGCAGGGGCACGGGGTCCGGCCCTGCAGGCTTTGACCGCCTGCCTCCGACTTCCGGCTGCGCAGCCATCGCTCTGGGGGATCGTTAACCGCGGGTCGCCGTGGAAGCCCCATCGCAGGGCGGGGCCGGGCTGGGCGGGGCCGAGGGGCGTGGGCGGGGCGGGGCCTAGGCTGGGGCCTCGCGGAGCGGCGCTGGGGAGGGCGGGTCAGGGGCGGGGCCGCCAGTCAAAACGCGTCTATGACGAGCTTAAGGCGGCATCCAATCAAGTCCGCCACGGCCGTCGGCTCCGCCTTCCCCGCCTCCGCCCCTTTCCCTCTCGGCCACGCCCACCACGGGCCCACGGCCGGGGACCCAGCTGCGCAGGTATTTTCGCCTCTGCGGGTGTAGGCTCCGGATTGGGCTCCGGGTTCGCTTCCTGGCTTGCCTCCTCCCAGCTGTGTGACCTGGCGAGGCTCTGAGCCTCTTTAGGGTTCAGTGCCCTCTGTGCAAGGCGCCAGCAACAGCCCCTTCCCTGGAGGTGTTGGTGAGGGTTGGGTGCTCTGCAGGGTGGCCTGGGCCAGGGCCAGGGCCTGTGCCAGGGCGTTCTGGCGTCCTCCTGACCAACCAGAGCTGGTACTGGTGAGCGCAGCCCCTTAGCCCGTGCAGGTTCGGGTCAGCCTCACCTGCTGGCTTGGCTGTCTGGGACCTGGGCCTCAGCTTCCCCATCTGTGCAGGAGGCCGCTGGCGATACCGGTGCCAGCCATGACCTGGCGGAGATATGGCCCAGTGGGACTTCGGAAGGCCTAAGCCACTGCTGCCACGTGGGACGTCCTCTTCCCTGGAGGAATGAAAGCAGCCCACGGTGGCTTAGCACAGAAACGCTCCGGAGACGGGGTCCCCATCATTATTCATCTCCTTACTGTTCCCTGGACACCCTGGGGTCCCTGTGCCTCCCCTAGGTAAGGATTCCTAGGTAAGGGAGCACAACTGATTTCACCACGCCTGCCTCGATGGATAGATTCCGCCACGTGTTTCTGCTGTGAGAGTACCTGCCAGGTACTCTCCTCCCTCAGTCTGGGGAGCCTCCTCCCTCTGCGGTCCTGTGCGCCTGTGCCTGTTGAGAAAAGATGGCATAAAAGGGAAAAGGGTGAGACAGGGCCCGGACCAGGAGACCCAGGGGTGCTGAGCCCCAGATTGGACCGGGTCCACATGGAGATGCACGCTCAGCTTGTCCCAGCTCGGGTGGTCTGCCTGCTCTAGTGGGAACCTGGGCAGGGGTGCTGTCTCCAGAGCTCGATGCTGGGCGGTCATCATGAAATATTTACGTCCCCCACATGTCCCCTTCTTTCTGAGGCAGGTGACGCTGTCACACCCGCTTTGAGGGGAGCAGCCAGAGATGCGTAGAGTAGGCAGCTACCTGGGTGGAGGGCAGAGCCAGGAATCAACCCTCAGAACCTGGCTGCAGCAGACCCCTGGCCACCTCCCTTCCTGGCCTACTCTAGTCCCTCTGGACCCTCACCTGGGCTCCCCTGCAAACCACCCTGCAGTGCCCCCGGGGCTGCAAATGCTGTCTCCACCCCTTTGCCTGTCTCTTCCCTGGGCAGCCCTCACTCAAGGCTCCAAGGTCAGCACTCCAGCTGTGAGGGTCCCATTTGGTCTTTACGGCCACACACCTGTGCCTACCACTCAGCAAGGGCTTTGTGGGATGCACTTTGCACGCTTGTCATTCTGAATCATGGCCAATAATTTGTTCAGTGAGTGCCTCCCCTGCCAGGCCATCAGCTGGCTCCAAGGGCCCAGGGCTGGGTCTGGTGTGGTACCACTGTCCCCCACCTCCCTGGCAGGGCCAACATGCAGCAGGTGGACAATGACCATTTGTGGACTGTCTAAGCGACCTACTGACTGCTTCCCTTACTCCTGGGGATGGAGTGAATGATCCTCTTTCTATGATCCCTGTAGCTCAAATTTCCTTCAAAAGATGGATGTGGCTTCCCAAAATCCTGATCCCAGGAACAGAAGAATTGGATCACAGGTGGGAAACACTCAGGCCCTGAAAAGGCTTTCCCATGGTCAGCGAACATACAGGCCTTCCAGGTTATATATCAGTCTTGTATAAGTCTGGCTAGTGTGAGTCACTCCTCAGATCGGCTCTGGGTTCTGGCCAAGTGGAGTTTCTTGCTTGGGGAGCTGATGTCATCTCTGGAAGGTGGTGAGCACTGCTAACCAGAGGGTGCCCATCTCTCAGCCCCATGGGGACACCTGGTTCTTGGCCATGAGGCAGGTGCAATGGAAGGGATGTTTAGAAGGCTTTGGTCAAACATACCCTTATGTGTCCACATGCCTGTGGTCCCAGTGTCCTCCCTCTGGCTGAGTCTGGGACAGAAGTGGAATTCCACTGCAGTGAGACTGACATGGCTCGTGGGTCTCCTCCCTCTGCCACTCATGCCTGAGACCCCAGACACTGGAGAAAGAGCTCAGCCTTTGGAGCTGGACGGCTGCTGTGGGTTCTGTCCCCCCAGGTCTACCTGGTCCACCACGGGCCATCCCTCTGGGCCTCACCCAGACATCTGGACACGGAGCACAGCTCTGTTGGCT